AAGTAATTATCCTCCTCAATGGTAAATCAATTAGGAAGGGAAGATCTAAAACTCCCCTCCTCTTCTAAGAAACAGTGAATTCTCTACCACTAATGGACAGAAAACCCCAAGCAGCAGGTACTATTAGGGTGCTGACTGCACCCACCTGGTCTTTCTATCTGTGCAAGGGCAGCCAGCCTAGGGATCAGAGCAGACGGCATGGTCTGTGTGGTCACAAAGAGGTGAGTGGGGGATCCTGGGCTGCTCTTGCTAGCTACTTGACAAAAAGCAAGTGGCTCAGCTGTCTGAGCCTCAGTTTCCTCACCTGTCAGATGGGAATAAAAGTACCAGGCTCAGGGGATTAGGACTGAAACTTAGAATAGGGTATAGAAGTCCCAGCCCAGGACTTGGGAACTGCGAGGAGCTCAGTAAGAAGAAGGAATTACCCTATTCTGGTATCAGACTGTACAGCCTCCCCACACACCGCACGCACACACGCACGCATGCACACACACACACAGAGGCACACCCACCTCTACTCTGCAGTAATTTAGCCACCTTCCCTGGCAGACCTTCCTATGCTCTCTGCCATTTCCAAAGCACTCTTTCCAAATCTGCAGGTGGCAGCCACTTTTGAGCCAGAGCAATTTGGGCATAGCATGCCTGCATTTCCCTATCCACCTAAAGAATTGTTCTCAAATAGGCACAGGTAGGAGCCAAACCCCTCTTGTTGGGGCACAAAGCCTTCAGCATGTTTGTATTGTACAAAGCACAGATCTGCTAAATGCAAGATTGACCTTGGCGCGGGCCATTCTGCATGGACCAGAGAGGGCAAGCACTGGCTGACAGTGAGTTCTAGGAACCCAGGGACATTTGTCTCCTGTGAGCAGAAGAAGCTGTGAGAGGGAACTCAGACCCCCGCCCCCACCCCCAGCAGAGCTCCTCCTCAGGGACACAAACCTCACACACGCCTGCTTCAAGAAGGAACACACTGCTCTTCATGTGCAAATTGCCAGGCTCAGACATCACCTGGGTAATGAACTATTTGGCCAATGGCTGGAGAAAGGCAAACAGGGAGGGATGTAAAATTCACATCAAATACAGTCAGGGCAGGCCAAGGTCTTTAAAATATTGCTGATGCCACCACGTCATAGGAGAGTCTAGAACAACTTCAGCTGGAGTAGCTCCCAGCATTTCATATCAATACTCTCATTTAGGAAAGACCAGTAAATACAGCTAGTGCAAATCTCAACTTCCTTTAGGGAGTCCAGCATCACTGGATGTATCCTGACGAATTTGTCATTCATTTCCCTCACCTAGGAAGACGGGAAAGTTGTTGCAGACTCACATTTACAAGTAATACAGCCTTGGGGTGATCGACATAGAGCCATTTCCTTATCTCACCTGCCTTCTAATGGCTGGGAGGTTTGGAGGTTAAATAGATTAAGCTCCTAAAAGGCAGCTTAGCATAGTAGGTGTTCAATTAATGCTAAGACCTACTGGTAGAAGGATATACACATGTTAACACTTCTACTTTGAACCTAATGGCTTATTGGCTATCCGCATTTGAAGATTTTATGTTGTCAAAAAAGCATTAGAAAACCAGCTACTATATAAATGCAAGCACAATTTACTGTTTTGCCAGGGGCCACAGATCTCTGACGTTCTCACAGCCTACAAGGAAAGTAGTAGCCATCTGTTAAATAAATAACTCATTAAGTAAAAAGCAAGTGTTTCCACAAGATTAACTGAAAATCTGCTGGATTTTTCACTGGCTGTCAATGAACATGGGCAGCTACAGATAATTTGGGTGCTGGAGGATCAGAAGATCTTGCATAATGCAAGCGGAGATGAGAATCCAGAGACCACAGGTTTAAACTTTAAGACATAGTTAAGAAGGAAACAAAAAAGTTGAATTACAAGGTCATAATGACCCAGAGCACTAAGCAATAAAGAAACCAACCAGAGTATTTTCATTTATCTCTAAATGTCATTTTGCCTACGGGGCTGGATAAGGGTAGTTCTAGTAAACTGAATATTCTGGTTAAAAGAAAAGTCACCATGTAGAGTATTTGTGAATTGTCAGCATCCAGAGGCTCAGAAGACCATCAAAAACATCTACCATAAAATGAAACAGAATCTAATTTCATTTTTACTTGGATGATTCAGAAAGCACTTCAGGATCACACAGTCTCCTTATGAATTTCTACTGCTATTAAAGAAAATAAATAAAACCATGGCAATACCTGTCATTTGTCTTTCCCCAATCTGAGTGAGGAAAAAAAAACTGTCTATGCTTTTAACTTTCTGGGAAGCAGTGACTCTTAAGTGGGAGTTAACTGTGCTTTGATGGTGTTTCTCAGAGAAGACAAAATAGGCTTAACTTTTGTTAAGTGGGGATTAATTCCCATGAGGAACTGCTCCAGAGAGCCCATGGGGTGGATATTACTTCTAGGAAGGAGAAATGGAGACAGAATTTCTGCACCAGTGGTCTCTAAATCCCAGCTTTCTGTTCTTTCTGACCCTCAGCATCTGCGTTAACCAACCCTGTTTCTGCACTTTTTAAGACTTCATTTATTTATTTTAGAAAGACATAGAAAGTGTGGCGGGGTGGCAGAGAGAGAGGGACAAGCAGACTCTGTACTGAGTGGGGAGCCTGATGTCGGGCTCAATGTCATGACCCCTGAGATCAGGACCTGAAACGAAGAGTCAGACGCTTAACGGACTGAGCCACCCGAACAACCCTCCTGCATTTCTAATCACCTCTAGGTTATACCAAGGAGAGATAAAGAGGTCAGGGGTAAAGAAAAAGAGCAAAAGACCAAAGGAGACATCATTATGAGTAGAAGCCCAACAGGAAACAGACATGACAGATGACCACCAAAATGGATGCCAACTGGTGTGACCCTTTATATCTACCACTTGGGAGAAAGACAGCTGACCTATCATCTACAAGAAAATACAATTAACTTTGTTGTGGTCAAAGGTCAAAGATCAGCGCTGAAGGGTGTCTGCCACATGTCAAAAACCTGCTTCTCCCACAGTGCATACACCCCAAGACATGATTCCATCCGACCCCAAGTCACTTGCATAGGATGGAAAAAGCTTTATACTGAGAGTCATGAGACCAACTGGCAATGCTGCCACCAACCAGCTCAGTGACATGGGTGGACCCATCTGTCCTCTGTGGACCTCAGCTTCCTTCTTAATGAAGTGGGCAGGGCAGAGGAAGGATTGTGATAGACCATTGCTGATTGCATTCAGTCCAGGTTTATCATGGGTCCATCATGGACGTGGCACCTAAGCTTTCCTCTGGGTCAAGAAGCAACTGCCTCAAGCTTCCAAGACAGGACTAGACTGTACATTGTAAACTACTAGGCTGTGATTGTATAGGAGGAAAAGATGCAAAGTGTGGTCTGGAGCCAAGAAATCTGGACTGAGAACCAAGAGTCCTGACCTCTCACCTCTCTGGCTCTCTGGGCTTTTTTTGTCTTCTGTTTTCTCCTCTGTAAAATGAGGTTATTGGTACAGATAAAGGATTCTTAACTGAGACTCCATGGACATCCTGGATCTGTGCGTGGGATTCCAGCTGTTGACAAGCTGCTAAAAACTGTTTTCCAGTTCTGTGGGCAGGGGCATGTTTCCAGAGAAGAGATCTAGAGCTTTACTCACTTCTACAAAAGCACTGAAGTTCAAGAACTAATAATAACTGCTATTATAGATAAAATCTATGATCCCTTCCAGCTCTGACATCCAACTAGTCACATGACAATACTGAAAACTATGGAGATGACAGCAGTTTGGAACAAAGCAAAGAGAAACTACTGCACCTGAGTAACAGGTATCCAAACAGCCATCCTGATGATCATCCGGGTTCTGGCACTTGACTGGTGGGTATAGTCTCAGGTCTGGAGCCTCATAGCTAGATCACTGGGCATCCATCACCAATACTAAACCAGGAGTCACCCATTCTGCTTTCTCCCTTTGCTGGGGAGCGGGGTGACAGAGGTGGGAATGAGAAGACAGGGGGCTGTGAGCACTCCTGCTATGGGTCTGAGTCAAAGCTGTTCTGCTTTGAGTGGCATAAATAATCATCATCCCAGCTTGGACTCCACCAGGTTGGACTCAGAGGTCAGGGACATCTGCACAGTGGGTTGAAGCTCACTCCTGCACTTATTCTCACAAAAGAAGTGGCTAGAAACCTATAGGGGAATGCAAATCAGATCACAAGAGGAAAGCTAGGGAATGCCATTGTCAGACTCTGAGAAACAAGAACATGGCCTTTTAGATTCCTGGTTTGTTTCTAGGGGCTAGGCATGCCTAAGTTTCTAAATAGCCATGCCTTCTTGGCTGCAGATAGATCACCCCACCCCAGAGCCCACATACTATACGGTATTCATTTTCTAAAACAGTCCATCGTTCTATGGACTCCTGGGCCCCTCCTCCCAGCGGGCATCCATGACCACGGTCTGGCCTTCTATGATTTCCTCTACATCCTGGCTATCAAGTCAGTTGGAAAGTCAGAGAGCAGAGGGGCCAGAAGCATCCTTCCCTTGACAGAAACAGACTCCCTGTTTACAAGGAGCTCTCAGAAAACAGACCAGCAAAAAGAATGAGGCTGTGGAAGAACTCAACTCCAGAGACAAGCAGAGCTACTCTCAAATCACGGATCTGTTACTTACCACTGTCTGCCTTTGGGTTAGAAACCTACTATCTCTCTGACCTTGAGTTTCCTCACCTGTAAAATGGGGACAACAGTAACTTCTAGCCCACAGATACCCTGTGAGGATAAGGCATCCCTAGCACAGAGGAACACCTTACTAGGTACATCATTTTACTGTTGTTGTCAAAATTATTATTATTATTGCTACTACTAGTGTCGAGGCAGTTGTTACAATGACAAACAGTGTCTGTGACGTTCCTGGCCTAGAAAGAAGGCCTGTCACTGTTCTTCTCACCTGGCCCCTGGCAGCCCTGCTACCCCACGGGGAGTGCTCAGGACCCCTGACCCTTAGTCTTACCTTCCTTTTGTTGGTGGGATTGACGTAGAGGTAACTGAGGACAGTCTTCAAACCCACTTTGTCATTCAGCTTCTCGTAGGTGGTGCCATAATCCGTTGATCTGCAGGTAAGAGAGAAAGAAAGGGAGAGATTGTTTTACCAAATGGGGGATTGTGTTCAGAGGGGAGCCAAGCCCTCCTTCAACGTGCACCTTTGTTCCCAAATCACAGGAGTGATTCAGAGATAAAAGGCCCCATTAATTTCTGAAGAGCAATTAGACTAGCGCACCTGCTTACTACCTAAGCTCACTCCCCTTTGCTCCCGGCCTTTCCCGGAGCCCTGCTTTTTCACCCTTTGGGAGGCTGTCTGTCTGTGAAAGCTGTTGCTGGGGACCGCCTGCCTGGGGTTCAGCCCAGGGGCCTCGGCGTGCTACCGTGAAGGGACCCGAGTCCCAGCCGGGAGCTGTGCGAGAGGCCAGACTGTCTCCGGAGGTCGCCGGAGTCCAGCCAACCTCACGCCGCCTCCACTGCCTCCGAGGCTGGGGACCCCCGGGGTGGAAGGAAGCCCCATAGGCAGGAGCTTGGAGGGTCTGGCCTGTCAGGCCACAGCGGGGAGAGGGTGGGATGCTTTACAGAGCAGCCATGGTGTGTCAGGGCCAAAAGCTGGTGCTAGGAAGTGCCGCTAACAGTTCATCATCCCAGTTATCCTGCTGGCTACCTGCTTGTCCTCTGGGCCTAATTTCCAGGGTTCTGACCTTATACCAAAACCACAAGTCAGGACTCAGAGAGCAAAGTCAGGTGAAGCCATAGGCCCCTTCCTCTCCATCCCACCTTTCCATGGTGGAGGAAGGAGAGCGGGTGGCTCACAGGTAGACCCCAGCCTCGCTGCCACGCTTTGTGCCTCACTCCCCAACCCCACTCCACACCTACCCCCCTCCCTTTTCAAACCACCAGTATCAACCGCTCCGCACCCCATCTTTCCCCCATTGCCTTCTCTGGCTAGATCTTGAAACTTCTCCCACCCAGGCTTTAGAAAGTCCAAGGTCAGCGTAGTTTCTCTGTGGTCACCCGACCTCATGGGTGTCTGCGTTCTGCCTCAGATCTCAGGGTCCGGCTCTGCCTGGGTGCTCCCCTAGTAACTAAATGCCTGCCTACTCCTACCTTTTCCCAGATTCTTCATCCACCTTCTCCCCAGAATCTGCTCCCACCCTGGCCCACAGTTTAGTTTTACAAGCTTGGTTGCCAAAGCCTGTAGTGTGTGATGACCTTTAAGAGTTATCCCCACACCATCTGATCGAGCAAATTCCATGTCCCCACGCCAGCTGAGATGCCCATGCTCACCTCTGTGAAAGCTCCACTAGCCCTCTTCCCAATCACCCTCACCCCCTCTCTGCCCTGAAACAAGCCTCCCCAGCCCACAGTGCACCCAAAGTACACTGCACATGCCTCATTTTGGCCCTGTGATATCATCGTGATGAGTTTCTTTAAGTTCTGGTCCCCCTAGCATAACATCAGCTCCCGAAGGACAAGGGAGCTCAGAGAACACTACAGTGAGACCAAAGAACATGAACTTTGGGATGTAGCAAAATCTCTATTTTTTTTTTAAGATTTTATTTATTTATTTAACAGAGAGAGAGAGCGTGAAAAAGCACAAGCAGGGGGAGGGGCAGAAGGACAGGGAGAAGCAGACTCCCCGCTGAGCAAGGAGCCCGATGAGGGACTCGAGCCCAGAACCCTGGGATTATGACCTGAGCCAAAGGCAGACACTTAACCAACTGTGCCACCCAGGCACCCCACAAAATCTCTATTTCATTGCTAGATCCGCAGCTCTCTGGTTGCATAACCAGGTGCAAATTACTTAACCTGTTAGAGCCTCAGGTTTCTTGACTGAAAAAATCAGGGAAATTTAATCTCACAAGGCATTTATTTGTAAGGATGCAAAAATATGACACATGAGAAACCTCCTGACAGGATGTAGGTATAATGAAATGTTAAAAATATATATATATATATATATGTATATATATACATATATATATATATATATATAAAGGACATTCACTTCTCCTTTCCCCAAAATGTACAAAACCAGGCTGTACACATCATACACAATCGGCATGTTTACTGAATAAACAAACATCGGTATTTCAAATCTCTCCCTAGGCTACTGGCTCCACATGGTCAGTGTCTATGGTAACTTTTATAACCAGCCCCCCAAAATTGACTTCTTATCTTCAGTCTCCTCTCTACCTTTCAGCACAGGGAATCACTCCCAATCTTGCTTGTTGCCTTTATCTCTCCAACCCAGCTCAGTCTCCCAAGACTTAATGATTCTATCTCCTAAATAACTTGGACCCCTGGTCTTTCCATCTTCACGCCAATGCTGTGGCTCATGCATCATTATTTTTTGCAATAGTCCCCCAACTGGATGCTCTTCTTCCACCCTTCTCCTCCTCCTGCCATCCTCCACGCTGTCATCAGGCCATATTTCAACCTCTGGGTCTCTCTACCTCATCCCTCGTAGTAATTACCCACTGCCTACACACAATGAGGTTGTAGCTTCCAAGCTTAGTCTTGCCAAATATGGCTTCAGTCTTCCCCACTAGACTCATTTCCAGCCACCTATTCCCTGCCCCTTTCTCTCCAGCCTCACCAAACTTTCCTGAATGTCCTGTGTTTTCACTGCCCTCATTTCTACAAGTATCATTCCTTTGTCTGAACTATCCCTGTGCTATTTCCTCTGCTTGGGACATTTCTCTTCAACCTTGACAGCACCAATATCACCCTCCCCCCAGCTTCCCCACTGGGAAATTAATCATGATTTCCTTTGCATTCCCTTATATATATTTCTATGTTAGCATTTATCCTATTGTTTCTCATACTATTTTTATTCTGGGATCTCCTCTTTGACTATAGTTCCCTAAGGGCAAGAGCCATTTCTTCTAACAGCCCCAATGCCTTGCACCATGTCTGATGCAAAGCAAGTGCTGAATGTACTGGTTTGTGTATTATTCCACTTTGCTTTGTCTTCATTTGTAAGAAGGAATGAATGGTCATTCATGTTCTTGGCTGGTCAAGAACTGATGGAACATTACTAGAGGGTAGAGTAATTCCTTTATAAACTGACCTAATGGGATTCTTACTGAAGGCAGGTCAGGGTGATGAGACATCACCTAAGGGCATGGTAGGGGATGAGGAGGTCGGTCAGATATTGAGGGAAGGGGATTCTGGCTAAACTGACTTAGCAGGACTCTTGGTAAAACTGTGCTTTTGAGGACACACCTAAGGGCAGAGCCTACTTGACAAAGAGCTCAGAGGGTCCCGACTAGAGTTTGGCCAAGAAGAGAGTCTGTCAAGCCCTATTCTATCATCAACACAAGAGGCTTACCTCCCAAAATCATAAGGCCCCGTCTGGACCTTAAATATCCTTATGCCACCAACATGGAGCTAAGCTGTTTTCCAACCAGTGAATTTTCCTCACTCTATACATAGCAAACATCCTACTTTTATAAAGAGCTAAATTCTCAGGGCTCCCTGCATGACTGATGTCACAACAAACTTCCTTCCAGAATCCAAATAAGCCTTATCAAAGGTAGTCTGCTTATCACCACACATGGTTTCTCTTTCTACAGGCTGCACTAAAGATTCACAGCAACTCTGCTCTTCCCCAAGAGTGGCTGCTTCTCCCAGAGCAGGGACTTCCCTACAAAGGCTTCTCCACATGTTAGCTTCCTCTGCTCATTCAGGCTGACTGAAAAGGTCTTGCTCACTGAAGACACCTCACGGAGCTAGGACACCTGTGGGACGAAAGGTGCCCCGGACTCTGTCCTTTCCAGCATGGATGCTGCACACCACATTGACCACAGAGCTCTGGGGGCCCCCTTTGCCTGGGGTGAGGGGCAGCTTGCAGAGAGGGTTCAGCCCCATTGCCAGAGACAGCTGCACCTGCAGAACTCATTTTTAAAAGAACCACCTTGTCACTCCAGACCTCTCCAGTGGGGTCACTTGGAGGAAACAGGCTCCTTTCTCCTATTTCAAAGCGAGCCTCTCAAATCTTGGCACTAGGCTCCCAACACCAAAATGTCCAGAAATCCAGGAACATCACACATATGTATCGAGCACCTGCCATGAGCGTGGCACGAGGACGGTTACCATTTTGAATCACTCCGAACACACAGCTAACCTGGAAGGCAAGAGGTGAGAGGCGCAAGGCCACAGGCTTTTGGCTTCTGTGCTTTGGCTTAGGTTACCCACGTCCAGCAGGCTATTCCACTATGTTCTCTGGATCTTTCTTCCTGTCTTTTTAATGCATCATCTCCAGCACACAGAAAAATACGAGATGCCAATCATATGCCCACTACTATATTTAACAGGTATTTGTGTTCATAAACAACACAGAATCTTTAGGAGTTTTTCACATTTACATAAGCCTCATACAGGACGTTTGTCCTGCAGCTTGCTTATTTTGCCCGACATTCAAGTTTCGGGATTTATCCATGTTGACACACCTAGCCATAATTCATCCTTTAAAAAAAAGATTTGTTTATTTGAGAGAGAGAGCATACAAGCAGGGGAGGGAGCAGAAGGAAAGGGAGAGAGAGAATCCCAAAGGGCAGAGGGAGAGGGAGAGAGAAAATCCCAAGCCCCCGAAACAGGGCTCCATCTCATGACCCTGAGATCTTGACCTGAGCTAAAATCAAGAGTCAGATACTTAACCAACTGAGCCACCCAGGTGCCCCAAATTCATCCATTTTTAACTGCTGTAGAGCATTATAGCATATGAACAAACTACTGTTTATCCTTTCAACCACTAATAAATATTTTGGGTTTTTTTTTCCTTTAAAATCTGCAATAGTAAGCAATGTCTCAGCGAACATTCTTATCCATGGCTTCTCACGTATTTATGAAGAAAAGTTTCAGGGGAGACATCCTAATGTGCAATTACTGCTACATACTCTATGCATAACTTCTACTTTGCTGGTTATTGACAAAATTTTCTCCAAAAAGGCCATAGACACTGCCTTACTCTCCAGCCCCAACAATTTCATTCCCAGGGCCTAAGTCCAGAGCTTCTGACCAGTCTTGTCCCAGCTATCTCTGATTCCAAAGTCCTGAATTCCAG